AAGTCTTTTAGCAAATATTTTTACTGCACAAGTCACAATTTGAAACTAAAATACTAAATAACTCACAAAATGATGCAATACGATATCAACTCTAATGTAATACAAGGTTGTTATCACATGTATATTTGTTCCATTACTTTCAGACTCACTTTCTTCAAACAAAACGAATAGGATTTCCTTTGGTTCAAATAATACATCACAAATATGTCTTCATTTATGCTCGGGTTCCAATCTTTTTTTCTTCTGCTAACACACTAAGTCAGCAAAGAATTTAACACTTCCGGATGATCCTCAAATATTAAAATATATTTGATCATAAATAAAATGACTGTAACAGATGTACTATTTGTAATCTGAACATTCCTACTGATGGCACTGGAAACATTCTGAAGAATAAGCTTAGAAATCTTCTGATAGTACTTGGAAAAATGAATTTCATATCATTATTTCATATTAAAAATTTTTAATAATTTTTAATGCATTACTAAATTGAAAAATAAAAAGTACAATACATTTTCTCGAGCGTTTCACTTTGCCCACCCTTCCTCTATAAGAAATTCACAAAAACTTCAATAGCTATTTGCCAAACTGTACGACATTTAATTAATAGTAAAATCATTAGAATTTACAATCGTCTCTTGAAGGAGAATAAGTTGTATATTGCAAAATTATCCTCGCAATTTGCAAACAGTTTCTTCTTATGCTGTTTATAACGACACTGGAGGAAATCCTAATGTCGGAAGTATCTATCGTTTTTTAAAACACATCAGTAATGCATGTGAATGGCGAAGAAATCAGTGTCAATGTAATGATGCGCATTTTTTAATATTTAAACATTTAACTTCAGAAATGTGAAACTTAGAAAACAATACTAGATTTTTAATCTCGAGTCATGAAAATTCGCACATCTTTTCCAATTTTTTAAATACCAATTAAAAACCATCAATACACTTTTTGTACTAGTTGAGTTGATATATTTTTGACAAAAGTAATATGGAAAGTGGTAAGTTTAACTTTGAAAAATTTGATAAATTTTAATGACAAATTAGTTAAACTATTTCACAAATATTCAGTTGATTACAGATTAATGAATTTCAGTAAATTCCAGAGACATTTTCTGTTTATAAAAAACTCAATACAATATATAATTTAATAATATGAACCAAAATTAGCTTTAGAATATCCATCGATTTATCCATTATTATTAATAAAATCTATCAACAGCACTCGGAACTTATGTTGAATATTCTCAATATATTTAGTTATGTCTTTCTTTATGTTATTTGGAAAATTTATTAGTATTAAAATATTTTCCCTACCGAAGCATGAAGTGATATAAAAAACTTCAGTAGTCACGATGTACTTAAAATAATGACATTTATTAGATCCAAGTGAATATTTATACACATTTAATAATCTCATTAACTATTAATCAATATCCATTAATTTTTTTCATGTCTGAATTTCATGCCGGTGGTTGTCAAAATAAAGTGACATGTTATATCAAAGGAACCCTATAATGCGACAAATTTTTGGACATAAATATTTCTATTAATTAACTTCAATAGAAGTTCTCAATAAATTAATTATTTACAATTGAAGAGATTTTTTTGTAAATTACTTACATAACATTAAAAAAAAATGATATTCATGCTATATAAGCAATGTAATAATTATTAAAGAAATATGATTATTATAAATATATTGTAGATGTAACATCACCTTGACAATATAATCAATGACACTATTTTCAAAATGTCATCTACATATTAAAATAATAACGCTTTTTATAATTTTTAATTTTCGTATTATGATCTTAAATAATATTCATGGTCTCGTGAATCGAAAAATAAACTCATAATTGCTTGCCTTATCATTATTCCAGCTCTTAATTTTGTCGATTTTCTTACTGGAATACTTTAGTAACTTTTTGAGTGGCATTTATTATGTATGAATTACAGAAATATTTACTTTAATAATCCCTTAAAGCGATTAAAACTTGAAGAAGTTCAACTTATTAATTTATTTAGCATTTATTAGTAAAATAATATATACTATATAATACCACTGTATCAGTAGTATAAATAATAATAATAATAATAATATTTGCTATAGCTATAATTTCTTTGTAAGTATTATATAAACAAATTATAAGCTGAGCAAACATGTAAGGAGAATCGTTAAGTCTAGAAGTAAAAAATTTTATAATAATTTCATGATTTCAGAGCCAAGTTCAGAATAAGAGAAGTAAGTTTAAATAATCGGTGCAAAAAAAAACCATAATTTGCTATCTAAAAGTGGGATATAAAAATATTACTCCAACCGCAAAATATATAAAAAAAGTTAGTAAATAACTTAAATTCCTTGATGCAAGTTCTCGTGGATAAGAGTGATATTTACACAAGGGATGTTATGTAAGCCGCATCGACACAGTTTCCCGGGCCAAAGATATATGTAAGAGGAGGTAGTAGAAAAAGAGTCGAAGAGGTGCTGACCAAACATCGTCGGTGGACTAAACTAATAAAGAGTAAAAGTGAAGAAATAGAACAAAAATATAGATGCGTGGATGTCTAGACGATCAATTTTCATTTTGATATATTTTTGACTCACTGCTATGTCATTTCCATTCATTTATCTCTTCATTTAACTAAAAAAATTTTGCGATTTTAACAATATACTATTTTTAATGATCTAATAATGAGGTACAAAATACCTTTCTCTTTTGTATGATAATCACTATAATATTTAATGAAAGGAAAATTAATAATTTTTTTGGTTAACGAAGTAAAGATCGATGTTGAATTTGTAATTAGATGTTGATTACTTTCATCATAAAATTTATTACAATAAGCTTTAATTAAAGTTATCCTGTGATCAATAGTGAAGTGTGTTATAATAAACCTTCATTCGTGTATTTAACCATTATAGTGATTAATAAAATACATGATAGTACGAGATTCATTACATTAACTCATTGCATTATTAGTTATAAATTGATATCTCGCTTGGTTTTCCGGATATTGTTACTTGAAGCTTCGGCTCTATATGGGTTTATACATGAGCACAGTTTTTTATTACAGAATTCAAGAGTTTTTTTCCAGTCGAAAAGTCTTCCTCTATTATGAAATCTTATCGATCGAAATTAATTACTTATTAATCATCTTACAACCCTTTGGACTTGAAAGAATTATTGTTTTGATAATATTGTTTTCTGGTTGAGTAATTCTCTTTGTTACCCTGTACATTAGTATTGATGAAATCAATGCAATATTGTTTTTTAAATAAATAAGTAGTTTCAGATAGTCCCTTCACTGTAAATCTCAGTTTTTCAAAATGCATTATTTTAATGCGGATGAGTGTGTTAAATATGACGTCATCCATTTGATTAACATTATAATCACTTTTAACGCATTTCTAAGTGTGTCAAAAGTGATGACAATATTAATCAAATGGGCGACGTCATATTTAACACACTTATCCACATTAAAATAATGCATTTTGGAAAACTGGGATTTACAATGTTCTCTATTAAATTCAAAAACTTTATTGTGCTCTTAAATTAATCATGCCAAGTGAATTGTGCGCGCAAAGTGTGCGTTGATATTTGATAATGACTTGAATTTTTTAACCAGTAAATACGGAGTCACTCACTTTTTGTGAGTAAATTTCACTGTAAATTGACCAGTAAAAATTACTATAAAATTTTCTCCTTGTCGGATGACATAAATTGATTTTCTTTTTTTCCAACTAATTACATAAAGAATGAAATCAATCTTTAATCTACTTTGGCTTCTTTAGTAATTATTAGAATTTATATTCAGCATTACTTTATTTTAGTGGTTTCATAGAACTTATAGTTAAGTATTTAATTATAATCATTAACTTTGTAAGTTAAAATTAAAAAAATTGACTGCGAAATTGATTGCTTTTAATTATTGTTTCCTCAACAAGTAGCTCATTTATTACAATTGCAATATCTATAGTTTGGTGTTAATTAAATTACGACAATTAGTGCCACATAGTATCATATGATTTTATGAATATTATTCTCTTTTTCATCTAAAATTACTTATCTAAAGATTAAACAATTTTTAAACCACACAATGATAAAGAATATCTATTGACTTCATAAAAAGTGTTTTTTTTTCTCCAATAAATATTCATTTCTTGATGTAATTATTAATATATAGGATTCTTTTATTCATTCTTCGTTACCATAACTATGACTCATGTGTAAATCGATTTATCCTTACTGGAATATTTTAATATTATATTTACTCCAATAATTATTAAAACTGCCCTTCGTCGATATTACGTAAACAAAGTAGTGAGATCATAGTCAATGAATTGTATCAATTAATGTAAAATTGTCTTACAGTAATGCTAATATAACTGATGATAAAATTTCAAAAATATTTCTACCCATTCTTTCTTCTTCAAAATTTCGACGAAGAAAGAATTTAATATTAAGAATCTGAAGAATAAGTTACAAGGTATATATAAAGAGAAATAATTGTCACTTGCGTGTGAAAACCTGTGATCGCTCTTGAGCTAGTTTAGCTCATTTTTTTTCTACGGCCTCGCTTACTCCTGCTGCGTCACAATCGAAATTAGAGGAGATGACATTTAGTTATGGAAGAAGAAAAGTCACTATAATAAAAACAAATTTTAATACATTGCGTTGAAGCATATTTGAATAGTACGGTCTTGTGCCACTTTAATTCATGTTAAAGATATGTCATAATGTTGTTATGTCAAATTGATATTTTATTTCTTATTTTGATTTTCTTTTCTTTTCTATTTGACAGGAACTGTAGATAATGAAATGTTTACCCAAGAAGATTACCGGATGCCATAGTAAATTTTGCGCCGATGATGAAGTTTCAGTTTGTTATGATGTCGTAGCATATCAGCTGTGGGTGTGTCGTGAAAAGTCAGAGTGATTTCTCAGCGTTGACCTTGTCAACTCGTGCGAGACTCAAAGAACCATGGACTATTGGAGGTGGCCAGGTGGGGACACTAAAATATATATATGAAAAACCGACAGTTAAAGATATGCATTTATTGATCATTTGTTGAACTGTAACTAACAATCTATCTGAGATTTACTAAGTGAAAAGTTTTGGAAACATGAATCATTTATTGGTAAGTTTTTAACGTTTTTTGTATAAACATTCATAAAAATTATTTAGGTAAATACAAGTTGAACGTAATTAATTGTATAGAATAATTTAATTTTAAAAATAGTAACAATTTTTATTTTTTTAAATTTAATTATTACTTTTTTCAATAAAATTACAATTCATACAAAAACAGACAAAATATTCAAAGGAATTAATAAAAAATTCCAATGAATTTGATAAAATGCATTCTATCTACACATGAAAGGAACGTTCTTAGTTTAATTTCAGGATGATAAAAAAAATACAAATACATTGGATTGCATGTTTGATTGTAATTTTTTTTTGTTAATTAATTATAAAATAATTTGTCAAAAAATGAGTTAAATTTTACTAATTACTTTTTAGATGACTTTGCAATTTAGAAATTATATAAAAATTCATTACAAATTATCGGAATGTTAAACACTTTTCATGTAATAATTTTCAATGTAGACTATGTAGCTTCAATACTATTCTTACATGATCGTTGAAAATTTCATAACAACATAACATATGATGTGAAATTTTGATCGTTTACTTTTTACTTGTAATAGAAAATAACTCAGTAAAACCTATTTCAGAACAATTTCTTTCTACGTCTCACAATAGAATAAAATTTTCACATTGACTTACTGTATTGAATTGAATATTCTACAAAAAAATCGAGATATTCATACGCTGTCAAGTGACATAGAATTCAACTTATAATAGAAACTCAAAGAAACATCACACGTGTGCATTACGCAAATGAAATTTCTCTGTATGAATATTTGATAAAAAAAATGTATTATTCACAATTCGTTTTCAATCAACCGTATCAATAACTTGAATTTAGTTTTTCTTGCGAGACTATTATCATATACTTTTATTGATCCTTTTTGTTTTTTAACTAAAATACTTGTAAAAATAAATAAACGGAATTTGATTAAAGAATTTAGAGTCAAACAATTAACATTAAAAATTTGCATTTCAGGTGGCGATTTTAGTAAGCACTGTAGTCTTATGCAACGGTGCTGTACTACAAACTTCTGAACTATCAAAGCTTATATCTGAAGATGGAAGTAAACATTCTGAATCAGCAAAGGACTTGGAAACATCTGCCAGTGACAGGAGTAAATATTAGAGTTTACATTTACATACAACACCACTACTTAAAAGTCATTATTAAATTCCACTCTCAAACATAATATTATTAATACAATAATGATTTATTGATTAATTGGGATGACTAATTACATTGATCAACGGTAGTTATGATCATCAATCCTTGGGTAGTAGAAATGATTATTAGCATATTTATTTTCTTACATGTAAAACATCATTATTTTCTAACACTGAATAATGATAATGAGATAATTGTTTCAAGAGCGTGTGAATTCGAGTGACACAGATGCTTCTTATCTACTCATTTTGCAAAAAAAACTAATTAACCAGTAATAACAGCTAATCTATTTTAAATCTTGTAAATGACTAGTAATTTTTTTACATGCATAAATATATAATTTTCAAAGTCATTCGCACATGTTAACCTTTCGTTGAAATCACGAATTGAAAATCGCAGATACACTTCTATATAATGGGAACGATATTTAACCCAAATTTTGGATCGTAAACTATTTTCTATGTATCCAAGACTGTTCGTGCCTGTCAAAACAAACCACGAGAACTGGATTCTTGTTACGTCTCGTGCTACTTTGGCCCACATCTCGGTCGACGTCTTGTTGATGATTCATAAACAGGTCTGACATGCATGATGTCATTTCCGCTTCCTTGAAAATGCAATACTACGCGTGCGTGCCACTCATTCTTCTTGTCATCGAGACTTGAACAATTATTAGTTCACTTCAACTTTACATAGGTCTAAGAGTTTAGAAAAAATTACTCCTTTTGTTGCATAAAATAACATGAGACATTATTATTTATCTACAAAAAAGATTGGAAACATGAGAATAAACTTCATACAAACAATTCAATATACTTTATTTATTAAGTTTCAAGTAAATTCATTTTAAAATATCATGAAATACTTGGAGCTTTCTAAAGTCTCTTTGCAGTTGAGATGTTTCGAGACCATTAAATTCTAAACATAGTTTATTCACTTGTTTTGTATTGATTCGACAAGGATTGATTATTCATAGCAGGAATTTTTCGAATTCGAAAAATGTAAATGCAATTGCTGTTTCATTATATACAAAATAAACAATAAATTATTTGTCTTAACTAATTAACATTTCAATCATGATATTTATTGAGTAATAATTCTATTAGTTCAATTTAACAATAGACACTCTAGAAAGTTAAAAAAAAAAAAAAAGAAAAAAACAAATGAACAGTGTAAATATCGTTTTTTGTTATATTGTTAGTATTGCATAAATCTAGGTGTTTCATTTGAAATTCATTGCTGAATTCATCCATTTCATATTCAAATCTTTCATTCATGCTGTAATATTTGTGTATCTATATAGTATGAGGAATGTAAATAAAGGCAATCTTAGTTGAAAGCACTTCCTGGTTCTCCACGCAATATTTATAACAAAGAAAATACTTACACTAGACTGATCAAAGCTAGCTTTTAAGGTACTTACACTTTCAAAAGCACCACGTTTTTAGTTTTACCTTTGAAATGGGTCAAATAGGTTTCATTTAATCCAATTTTCCGTCGTTTTTGCTATTAAAAATATCAATAATGAAATTGAAGATGCAATTCAAAACATTTTTTATTTTTCTTTTCAGGCTTTTTACTAGGAAAAGATTATGGTTACGGAAGTGGATATGGCAGTGGTTATGGCTATGGAAACTATCCTGGAGTTTATGGTTACAACAGAGGGGGATACTACCCAAATTCGGTTTATAGAGGATACCAAACTGGTCTTACTGGACTCCTTGGAGGAGGAGGATCAGGAGCTGGGTAAATAGTATTAGTTTGATATCATGAACTTATAATGAATTAAGTAATTTTCTCATTAGTGAAACTATCATTCTGAATTATAAAAATATACTTACATTACTTTACTTTGATAAATTATGAAAAATTCCAGGCTAGCGCCATATTTTTTCTCTTTTTAATTTGAGTTACTCATCCATTAAAAAGTTTCATAAATCAATTTATCGTTATAGATTTAGTATCCTAAAGAAAAGTTTATTTTTATGGGAAATTTTTTTTTATTAATACAATCCATTTTTAAGATACTCACACTATTTTTTATTCATCAATCCATTTTTTAAGCCAATAAATTTCAAAGAATTAAATATTCCAGCTACGGTGGATACTATGGGGGTGGATATGGAGGAGTGAATCCTAATTATTATGGTGGAATTTACGGAAATGGAATCGGAGGATACGGATATGGCAGCGATGACGGTTTGATAGGAAATAGAGGATATAATCGCTGGAATAATCTCGACGGATATGGCGGTTATAGCGGTTATGGAGGATACGGGGGTTACGGAGGTGCTGGTTATCCTAATTATCTCAACAGAGGCTATGGTTCGTACTCAGGACTTGGTTACCCTACTGGATACAGAGGATACTCATAAGCTGATTAAATTGCTTAAGAGATCAATAAAATAAAGATAACAAAAATTTAAGTTTTATACTTTTTTAGAAATATATTATCATTATCATTTGTTATGAAAAAATTTATTCACATAAATGAACGAGAAATACATGAAAAATTATTGATAAAAAGTATGTTTTGCTTATATTAACGCTACTAATATATACAAAGATTGCATAATAATTTATTTCCCTGTAAGCGTACTTTCAAAAGGAAAATCGCATTAGTTTTTTAAATATTGAAGTTAATGATTCAGTTAAAAATTGTATTATTTATTAATAATTTATGAAAAAAACTGATTATTTTTGTTTTAATATTAATATGAAAAACATTAAAAACATAATCAAGTTTTAATGGATAAATAATGTGTAAAATACATCAAAATTTATGAAAAAATTATTATCTGATATGCTTATTATATTAAAACTTATGTTTATACTTTATAATTCACATGCACAGTTTTGTACATTTTATTTATTACTAGAAAAGAGTATTAGTCATTTAAAAATATTGAAAATAATAAAGTGGACCTTAGGTTATTAATAATCTCAATGAAGTCATCCAAGAATGGTAACTAAAAACTAATCATAAGTGTAAACGTATAAAAAAATGACATAATTATATTGAACATTCTTCAACATTGTCGTTTATCAGTCAGCCGTGTCAACAACTAAAATTTCTATCTTCGATCATGTTGAGTATCATTTATGTGTCGAGATGTTCATGTTATGAAAAGAAACAAGAGTGACTGTGGCAACTTGTATTGAGGGATTGAGGATCATCTGTTCATGACATTATGCTTCAAAGTGTCTCTTAATTAGATCACAACTGTTCCGTGGCTTACTTACGATAGCTCGATCATATCTCTATTAATTTAAATTACAAAAACATGAATGAAGTATCATTATTATATTAGCTTATTTCCTTCTATTATCTTTTTTTCTTTTGACTTTTTGTCGATGTGAATATAAACGACCATTTCTAACGTCAGTGACTGGAACATTCAGAAAACCCAAGTTGGCTTCACTTAGTACGTGCTTAATAGCTCTAATGTTACTGAGCTGGCTTAAATCCAAGATTTTTCCACCAAGAATATTGTGATTTTGTTGGTTATTACAAGTACCACAAGGATAAGGAACTGGTGTTGCTGATGGGAACATGTCTCGTGCCATATCTCCATCAAGAGTTTCATCACCAGGACAATAGGGGACAAAAATTACTGGAATAAACCCTAGTTGGCCATACACTGGTGAAGACTTTGTATCCTCTGGTATGATGCTTTCGGTTGTTGTTGTAGTTGGAGTGTAAGTTGTAGAATTTTTTGATTCAACTATATAACAAGGACACAGCTCAGGATTTGGACCAACAGGTAATGAAATTGGCTTAATTTTTACTTGATTTGTTGAATCCATTCGATGCTCCACAACTTTGGGAATTGATTTCTCACGGAGTGCATTAGCATGATTATATCCTGGAAAAGGATCTTTAATTTCTTGAGGTAGTCTCTGTAATTCTACTGATGAGTCTTGTTTTTGACGAGTTACTAGTTCTTTTGATCTTGATTGAGATTCTGATTTTAAATTTTCATACTTTTCATCATACTGAGATACTTGGTGAATATAATCATGGTAAGGGATGCTTGGTTCGTCTTGGTGTGATAAACTTTTGCTTACTTTTTCGATATTATGAATTTTGAGGTTCTCTTCATTTTTTTCATCTTCAGTACTTAATATATCAGTCATTGAAGAACGTTGGAAAGCGTTATATTGATTCAATTGAGTTCGTCGACTATTTTCTTCGTAATTATTAAAAGTGTTCTCAGAAGTTCGTGAGTTTTCTGACAAACTAAATGGTGAAGGTCGAAGCGGTTTGCTATGCTCATTTTTCAGCTGTCTATAACCAAATGCTGTAGTATCCAAGTTTTCTTGTATAGTATGACTATCTAATAACTTTTGATAGTGTTGCACTTTGTAGTTTATCACAGGTTCGAAATTTATGGGTGATTCTGCATATGATTGCAAAGTTTTCTGTTGATTTCCGGGGTTATAAGCTGGATCACCAGGCCAAGGACCATCAGGACCAGGAGATCCTGTTGGCCAAGGACCGTCAGGTCCAGCAGGACCCACTCCACCATCTCCACCAATTCCACCGTCTCCACCTACATCTCCTATAGGACCTATTCCACCAATCGGACCTCCTGGACCTCCTGGCCCATCAGGCCCTGGTCTTCCTGGACCACCTGGACCTCCTGGACCACCTGGACCTCCTGGACCATCTGGCCCTGGTCTTCCTGGACCACCTAGACCTCCTGGACCATCTGGCCCTGGCCTTCCTGGACCTCCTGGGCCACCCGGACCGTCTGTTCCTGGTCTTCCTGGGCCACCTGGACCGTCTGTTCCTGGACTTCCGGGACCTTCTGGGCTATGTGGAATATTTGGATAGCCAACGGATGAATCCGTAGGTTTTATATGATTTTGAGGGGATTGACCATATCCAGGATAATTAGGGTAAGCAGGATATGATGATTGTGACTCACTTGGTTTTCCAGGATATCCTGAAGAGCTAGATCCAGGATAGTATGAGCCCGAAGATCCTGGATAATATGAACCTGGAGATCCTGGATATCCTTGATTTCCATTATTTCCGGGGTAATTGTTCGACGTGCTTGGATATCCTGTTGATGGTGATTGCGGATATCCGCAGGAATTTGATGAACTCGAACAATCTGATTGTTGCGTTTTATTTGGAATTGAAGGCCCTTCCTGCATAGGCCTTGATGGATGTGATGACGTAGAACCTCCTTGCGGATAGTTTTCTGGTGTAGAAGCTGGTGGATAACCAGGTTGTAAAGGATACGATGGTATTCCTGGTCTTTGATGTGTAGGAGACTCAGGCTGGGATGATTGATGATGAGACTCAGATCCTGGAGAAGTTGGATATCCTGGTGATGATGAAGAATGATTTGGTTTCCCAGGTTTAGATGTTCCGTGACCAGGTCTTGGATGCTTCGTTGGCTTCGAATGCGCTGGTTTGTGTGGCTTTGAATGTGATGGACGTCCAGGGTGAGTTGGACGAACTGGTTTTTCAGGTTCCGTGGTTGGATGTGACGGTGATTGTGGTTTGCCTGGTTTAGAAGATGGATGTCCTGGTTTAGAAGGACGCGATGGCTTTTCTGGTTTTCCAGGTTTTGTAGGCGATGGATGTGTTGGTTGCTGTGATCCTGCATTAGGATGATCTGGTTGCAAAGAAGATGGATATCCAGGATGAGTTGTAGGATGTAACGGTTTGTCAGGTTGAGATGGAAACTGCTGACTTGGGTAAGAGGGTTTCTCTGGATATTGTTGAGAAGGATATCCTGGTTGAGATGAAGGATATGATGGTCCTTGACCAGGATAACTTGGTTGTGACGAAGGATATGATGATCCTTGTCCAGGGTAACCTGGTTGAGAAGAAGGATATGATGATCCTTGTCCAGGGTAACCTGGTTGAGAAGAAGGATATGATGATCCTTGTCCAGGGTAGCCTGGTTGAGATGAAGGATATGATGGTCCTTGACCAGGATAACTTGGTTGTGACGAAGGATATCCTGGTTGATAAGCTGGATATGATGGTTGTGAAGGATGTTGATGAGCTGGATGTGATGGCTTCTGTGGACGTTGTTGAGATGGACGTCCTGGTTGTGATGGGAATACTGGTGGCTCTGGTTTTTGTTGAACTTCATTGCCTGGCTGCAATGGATTCAGTGGTTTTTGTGGTTGTTGACTTGGATAACTTGGCTGAGAAGGAAAAGGTGGTTGTTCTGGATGTTGATGAGTTGGTTTTCCTGGTTTCTGTGGGTGTTGCTGATTTGGAAATTGAGATGAAGGATATGATGGTTGCTCTGGTCGCTGTTGAGCTGGGAAGCTTGGTTGTGATGGGTATGATGGCTGTTCTGGTCGTTGTTGACTTGGATGATGAGATTGCGATGGGTGTGATGGCTGCTGAGGTTGTTGTTGACTTGGATATCCTGACTGCGATGGATATGATGATTGTCCGGGTTGTGTTGGATAGCCTGGTTGAGAAGAACTTGGTGAAGATGATGGATGCTGTGGCTGACCAGGTTTATTAGAATGTTCAGGGTTCGTCGGTTGCTGTGGTGGTCTAGTTGGTTGAGATGGCACTGATGGTTGCGATGGATATCCTGGCTGCTGTGCAGGAAGTTCGCTAGGATATCCTGGTTTTGAAGGTGAAGTTCCGGAAGATGGCTGTTGTCCTGATTGTGGTGAACTTCCGGGTTGCAATGAAGGATATGTGTTATCTGGTGAGGTAGGTTTTTCTGGCTTGGATGGTAAATGTGATGGTTTTAGTGGTATTTGATGTGAAGGATGCTCTGGTTGAAATGATGGATATGTTGGATATCCACCTGCCTCTGAATTATCCGTTTCAGATGGTTTTCCAGGTTTCACTGATTGATTTATATTAGGAATTGATGGTCGTCCTGGTTGTATAGAAGGGTGTGATGGTGTCCCTTGTGTTGGATGTGATGGCGTTCCAGATGAAATAGGAGGTTTTTCTGGATGTGGCTGTTGTTGATCAGGATGAAGCTGATTTGGGTAGTTTGGTTGTGATGGCTTTTCTGGGTACTGTGTCGATGGATACATCGGTTGTTGTGGATATTGTTGAGGTGGTCGTCCTGGCTTCGAAGAAGGATGAACTGGTTTTTCTGGAAGTTGTTGAGATGGAAATCCAGGTTGTAACGATGGTTTCGATCCTGGATATGGTGGCTGATGTGAAGCTGTCTGAGGTGGTTGCCCTGGTTTAGGTGATGCGCTTACTGGGTGATCGGGTTGCTGTTGACTCGGATAACTGGGTTGAGATGGTCGCTGTTGACTTGGATAACTGGGTTGAGATGGTTGCTGTTGACTTGGATAACTGGGTTGAGATGGTTGCTGTGGTCTTTGATGACCTGGATGATCAGGTTGTGATGGATATGATGGTTTGTCAGGTCTTTGCTGACCTGGATAATCTGGTTGCTGTGGTCTCTGATGGCCTGGATGATCCGGTTGCGATGGATATGAAGGTTGCTGTGGTCTTTCTTGATTCGGATGACTGGGTTGTGATGGATATGACGGTTGCTGTGGTCTTTGTTGGCCTGGATAACCCGGCTGTGATGGATATGAAGGTTGTTGTGGTCTCTCTTGACTCGGGTGACTGGGTTGTGATGGGTATGATGGCTTTTCTGGTTTTTGTTGTCCAGGGTAGCTTGGTTGTGATGGGTATGATGGCTGTTCTGGTCGTTGTTGAGTTGGACCTTCTGGTTTTGGAGGAGATGTTGGTTGTTGTTGACTTGGAAATCCGGGTTGCTCAGGATGCTGTCCGGGGTAGCTTGGTTGTGATGGGTATGATGGCTTTCCTGGTTTTTGCTGTCCAGGGTAGCTTGGTTGTGATGGGTATGATGGCTTTCCTGGTTTTTGCTGTCCAGGGTAGCTTGGTTGTAATGGGTATGATGGCTTTTCTGGTTTTTGCTGTCCAGGGTAGCTTGGTTGTGACGGGTATGATGGCTGTTCTGGTCGTTGTTGAGTTGGACCTCCTGGTTTTGATGGAGATATTGGTTGTTGTTGATTCGGAAATCCAGGTTGTTCAGGACGTTGTCCGGGATAGCTTGGCTGTGATGGGTATGATGGTTTTCCAGGTTTCACAGACGCTGGATGTCCGGTTTCTGGATGACCAGATGGTTTTTCTGGTTTTCCTGAAATTGGTAATTCCGGTTTCACAGGCTTTGATGGTTTCTCAGGCCTTAATGGTGGCGAAGGTTCTGCTAATGGAGGACGTTCCGTTTGAACGGGCGGTCTTAATGGTATTTGTCCTGGATATCCTGATTGGATAGGTATATTCCCACTTTGAGAGGGTAATCCACCTTGTGATGAATCAGGATAATTTGGTCTAGAAGGAATAGGTCGAGCGGATGTTCCTGCGGAGTCTGGAGTTTGTGGTGATTGTGGAGGAATGTTACTACCGGGGTACGCCGGCTGCGTGGGTATAGATGGTTTTGATGGTATGCCAACGCCGGGTCGCGAAGGTTGGTCAGACGACCCAACAGAATTGTCACCTGATCCGGTGGGTTTGGACACTGTTTGTTAAGAAAAATAAAATATGAGTTAGCTCATTAAAATATTTTCACTATAATTTATTATAAATGAATTACTTACCTGGTCTAGGAGGAGCCGGTTTTGTAGGCCGTGTGGCGCCATTCTCGAATTGACCACACTCATAGGGGAATTTTAAATCATTCCACGGCGTTATGATTCCGTGGTGCTCATGGTGGTCATTATCACCTTGATCATGATTATTATCATTATGATCATGTGATGATGCATTTTCATCATGATGTTCGTGTTTGTGGAGAAAAATTTCAACATCTTCTCTTGGGTGAACAACTCGGTAGCCCCATCCGTCACTGACATAGAACGTCGCCATGAGTTGTCCAAATGGATCCACATATCCATAACATCCGTAAGTTACTCCATCCGAACCGTGTATCTCATGATGAAATTGGCCATCAGGACCGGTTTCATATCCATAATTATAAGAATCTAAAACAATAGTGAAATTATAATTGAAACAATTTCTACTTATGATGTAATAAATTATTTCTATTCAATCCACTTACTCGTTTCGAAATTTTGATTTAAATACTGTGTTTTCTGATCATCACTGATACTAAGAATAAGTTCATTTCCTTCCCTAATTTCTTCTGTTCGTATCACATATAAGTTATTCCCTGCAATCACCTGATAACAAAAAATTACATTATTTAAAAAAAATAAAAATTGATGAGTTTCCTAAATAAATTACACAATGACATAACATTTTTTAATCTCCTTCAATTGTTTAAATCTCTTTAATGTCACTAATTAAATAATTTAATTTATAATTAGTTCGATAATAATTACAATATATTACGCAGATTAAAATTGCATTAACTCATTTTTTCCAGCAAATCCTGCGACCCTGTATAAAAAGTTTGCGTGAACGTCCGGTAGAAGGTTGCTTTCACGATGCTCCATGAAGGCTAGAGGCAATTAGGAGTGATTACTTCACCGAGGTCCAGATCTTCTTTACGAAATTGGTGAGTTGTATGGAGCCATGCGGATCGCATTGGCCTCCTTAGATCGTACCATCTTTTTTATACATGATATTATTTCTTTACTTATCAATAAATAACCCTGAATCATTATGAGTTATATTATCGTCTCGTGATATCTGCCTTGGCCGTCTTAAAATTTCAGTTATTTATGATCATGTCCAGCATCATATAAATGATATGAGTACACTTGCATTGGCATGATTAACGTTGGAGAAACACGAGAATGAAATTGAAGCTTCTGGATATTTGTCAAAAATATTTGTTATATACTTTTCAAATATATACATACACACGACTTCCTTGACGTTGGAATTTATGCAAATGTAGTTAAGTCAAATCTATTAAGTGAAGCTAAGTTAGGTGAGTCGTTTGGAAGATAGTGAAAGTAGTTGCGGCATCTTTTATAGGCGGGGACGCAGGTCAGTTACACCGGATTGACACTCACTAATCGTTCGCTGTAAGGTCACGCTCTTTGCTTTTACAAAATCATAGAAGGTATTTTTTTAATCGCTAGATAGAATTTGGTAATGAAATCCTTACACTGGTAAAATCATTCTAGAAGAGAAAACGAAAGAGAAACCATTTTACTGGTGTAAATTCTCATATTATAATGTAAATGGGTACGATCCAATGAACCTTTATTCATCTTCACACATTTTCAAATATTTTTTTTTTTTTAGAAATGGCATACTTCTGATCTTAACCAACGTCATAGAGGTTACGTAATAAAATCTTGGAAAATATTTTTTTGAAGAATCCGACTTCATGATTATTCATTGTCATGTCATCTATTGATCAAACATTTAAGAATGAAGAAAATCTATTTGATGATGCAGACAAATTCTTGTTATAAAAATTTTATTTTTCTACTTTTCTCAAATGTTTTCTTTAAAAATTCACATTCAAATAAAGTTCTATTATATTTATTCCATTAATCATAATTTCTATATTTTATAATTACAGAGAAAATGATGTCCTGATTTTAATCTTCAATTTCAGATCGTAAATGGTAGAATCTGGTACGAGAAGATTCAAGTTATGTGATTTATGTCGATCAATGATATCACTATCGACATTCAACAGTCGCCTACATAAGGGAAAGTAATACGATTACAGAATTTAATACTGGTGTTGCAAAAAGATGATGATAATGATTTATATCATGAGACTTGTTACATCGTTCGAAAAAATTTTTTATGAGTCATATAGTTTTTTTTGCTCATGATGAAACCTATTGGCTTCTATGTAGTGCTTGGTGAAAGAAAAAAAAAATTAATTTTTGTACATTCGAAAATGATGAGTTGTGTAGTAATCATTGCCAAAATAAAATTGAAAAGAAACATGATTTAATAAAATGGGTGACGTAAATTAGGTGTGTTGATCGACCGACAGATTTTTAGATAATTGAAAAAGTCTGCATGTAATTAATCATCAATATTAAATACCACTTAATTTTTTATTATAATTATATCGAAATTGTTCGGTTAGAAGCTTATTGGTATGTGATAAGAATTAACAATAATTGGGATTGGAATGATTACTTGAAGTGTGATTAAGTCAAAATCACATGTATTAACAACTAATGAACAGAGAATTTGATCATTAATGATGATAATGATATTTAATTTTCTGTTTATAAACTATAAATGCATTCTATCGAAATAATTGACCAATTAGAATCTTTTTGCAATTAGCTAACTAAATAGGAGCTTTATTTATCATGATGTGACCTTTTTTTTTGAAACAAAAATTCCTTGTTCATTATTGAAACATTTTTTTTTATATTTCACATCATCTCTGCTAACATATTTTTCGCATTTTATACTTTCAAAATTTTCTGCTAATAATTTAATAATAGCAGAAAATTTTTCCGATTTGATATGACTGTCTCTTACAAAAAAACAATTACTACGGCAAAAGTAATTAAAATAGAAGGTAATCTGATTATTTTGCACGTTTTGAAAACACTCATAATTGCATAAAATTTTTTTTTGGTGTATTAACACGATTTTATGCGCAATATTTGTTTATATAGTTATTCGAATATTCAGAATCGTATTAAAAAAAATATTCATGTTTGTACACAAATTGAATTGAATAAAAAAAATATCTAGAGAATTTTTTAATTTTAAAATGTAATAAAATCCATTTCGGAAAATAATATTTTAAAATAAATAACTCAACATGCTAGTGAAATAAATACGTAGGGGAATGTCTGGTAAAGTGAAGCACCAAGAAAATCCGCAAATCAACAAATTAAGTATTATGTTAGCAAATGTTAATAATTTTTAATGCAATAATAAATTAAAAAATTTATGTAAAAAAAGTGCAACAAGCATTTTTAAACTTATTTTAATAAATTATTAAATTTTCTCGAGCGTTTCACTTTGCCCCTGCGTTCCACTTTACCTTCCCTTTCCCTACTATTACATCAAAGAAAAAATAACATAATATTTTCGTGAGTACTTTCAATGTTTGTCATTAGTATGCTCTCAATTACTTTACAAACTCCATTTAATTTGTCTAATTTTTCCATATAAAAATTATAAAGTCCTGGTTTATCAAAAAATAAAATAATTTTCAATGTATTTTCGCTCTACATATACACGGAGAGAATTTTTTCACTAAATGTAAGTGCAAAAATGACAAGTCCACGTTTCGAAATTTGTAAGTGAAAATATTTCTATTCGATAGTAAATTTTGAGTTCTTGTAATTAATTCTTTTACTAACAAGACACATTTCAAGTCACAAGTTTACTTACAAGAACTCAAAATTTACTATCGAATAGAAATATTTTCACTTACAAATTTCGAAACGTGGACTTGTCATTTTTGCACTTACATTTAGTGAAAAAATTCTCTTCGTGCACATAAAATTTATATAAAAGAAAATTATCGAGATGATATCTAATCTATGATGAGCGAAAAATTTGAATATCTATTTATAAAAATAATATAAGTGAAAATTGAGTGAAAAAGTGGAGGTCAATTTTTACTTTCCGCGATGAGAATATTACCGAGCAATAAAGCGTCGAGACATTCACCTTGTGCATGAACGTGATAAGCATGCGAAGGTCATAATCAATTTATGTTTATATTGCACGATAGGTGGTAAATAGTGAGATATACATATGTATCGATGTCGCATATCTGATGAACAGTATTCATCCATTATTCATCACCATTTGTTGCACCTGGAGTGACTGATTGGTCACTTGAAACAACACGTTTGATTTTCGGTTATAATTTAACCAAAATAATTATAAGTGTTAAAAATATCTACTTTTTATCTTTCATTATCATCATTATAAATTATCATCGCAAAAGTAGTTCACTCTTTATGTATCAAAGGAGAAAAAGGAGGCTAGCATGATGCATCATCTCTCCAGTGAAAGTCACTGAGAGAGTATTGCGCAACTATGACATCGCGAACCGATAAATATTATTCAGAGGCCGAGGTCCAGCATTACGGATGTCGAGGTTTAATATTAAACACTTGAGAAAAAACACTTGATTAAAAATTTATGTTTCAAATAAGTGGGACACTGTGTGAATCACAATGTTATGAGAGTGATATTACAAATTGCGAGTATTCCGAGCATCTTCTGCTGTGACAAGAAAAGAGAAAAATATGAAGAGTTTAGAAAATAACATAAGGAATCCACTTACAAAGAGATTAATGCTCTTTGAATCATAGAGCTTCTTTAACAAGGAATTTTCTTTACTTGTTGAATAAGTAAAACATTATTTGATGAATTCCTTTTAAAATTTATTATATTCTTTATAATTTTTAACAATTTCTTAAATAGTTGGATCTAATACCAAAGTTTATTTTTTTTTTCTACTCTTCATAAGTATTTGAAATAGTCTAGATAATTTAGATAAGCAGATTTGAGAAAATGTGATTCTTTTAATTTTTTGTATAAATTTTCTGAAAATGCACATAATATAAATGACAAAATAATTAAATGATAGGATAAAATCTTTTATCCTGCCTATTTTAATACTTAAATACGATGGTCTTTTTCAATTTACAGAAGAGAACAGAAGAGCTTAAAATTATTCAACGTGTGAAAAAAAGTTAGTAGTAGATTTATCAGATTTAAAAATTTTCAATGAATATTAAAACCTTCTACTCTACATTTTTATGTTTTTAAAAGCGTTAATATGTAAGTTTTACTTTTCGATTCTTTAGAACACCATTCAACTTTGAATATTTTATAATTATTTTTAACATTAACAAAAATTTGATTTTGTAATCAATGGCATAACTAGTGAAGCCATTCGATGTTTTTATTAAGACTATTTTGATAGACAAGAGGTGATAATGATGTCAAATTTCAACTCTTGTCTATAAGAGAAATGTTTCAATAATAGTTTAATCACTTTCTTCAAATATTCTAAGACATAAAAAAATTATAAGCTATTTGAACCTTTTATGCTTCTTATATTCAAAGAGTCCTAGAGTATAGAATAAGATCTTGACCATCGAGGATTGATTCAACTATTAGAAAATATTGTTCTTCTTTTATTAAATAACCTAGATTTTTTTCTTACATAATCATTCACTGCAAAAATCTCTAGTTTTATTACTTTGTAAGTGGCCCTTTTGTCAGTTAACTCAGATGTATGTTTAATACAAAATTCGAAACTTGAGTCAAAACCTAAGGGTTCACAAGAAATGAATACAAATACACTTCAAAACACAAAAAAAATTTAGTCTCTCAATGATTACAAAAGTTCTTGCTTTTCTATAATTTTTAACAAAAAGGATTAACTAGAAAGGGGTCATTAAAGTTTTGCAACATTGTAGATTCTCTCTAATAAAATTGTCACATTGACTGGCAACTGCTTTACTTAACACCAGATAATTGCTAAGAACATTGCAGAATGTTAAATGAAAGTTACATAAAGGATCAAAGAGAATTGGATGAGGGAAATAATAGAATGAAAATTCGTTGAGGACGTTGAGAAGTCTCGTGAGAACCGGAATAAAATAGTCATTTATAGGCTGATCGACGTGCCTAGAGTTTCACTTCAAAAGGGTACTACAAACTTCGCGATGTTCAAACAAACACGCCAAGTTTATCTCGAACTAATACACGTATAAGTTTTAGAGAGACAAGAAACCATCTAGTCTCGCTGAACGCGGGCAACTACCGAGCGGAACAAATTAGCTGAGCTTTGTATTTAACTAGCCGTATCAACGCGTTAAACACCGCATCCCAGGCCAGCTCACCGAGGTCTTAATACCAGCAACAACAGCCCAGATTACGTCGACTTGATAACAAGAGGAATAGAGAAAGAGAGAACGAAGATTTGAAAAGATAGCACGACGCGGGACGCAGGAGGATATCGTCATGAGGCCGGTAGTTGTCAATCTCTTTCGAGAAAGAGATTTTCGATAGGTGTACTACGGCTATTCAAACCTACTACGAAATTTCATAGGGTAATCGGGATCTTATGGGGTGCAAGAGAATAAGGGAGACATGTTGTCTTTGTCTGACGGGCTCCAACGACTCCGAAATTTACGCCAACATTTTAACGAGCTCCTCGGTTGCAATGATATGCAATCCAGTCATTGTCTATTCGTGGTGATACCTTATAAAGCCTTTCAATACACTTGATGAGGAATGTCTATGTGCAGATACTAAATACTGAATTATTAATCAATAATTTTTTTAGACAGCAATTGTTGGTGATAATTAATGTGTCAGAAGAAGAAGAGGAATTTTATTTTGTTGACAATGGTATGAAAATCCAAGAATTACCATGAGTTGTTCATTTATATTATAATTTATTTTTTTATCCTACAACATGGATTCTAAATATTATG